TTGAATCACCAACATTCTGATTAATGAAAGGGAGCTGACCAATAAACTGTTGTTTTTTAAAGGTATTTGTATTTATGGTCAAACTATTTAAGTTCAAAACTGCGGCCTGCATCACCATTTCTGTTAAACATATGGAGATGTATGGAGATGACTTTTTTGTTATTCTTGTTGCCTGGTAGTAGTTATTGTTTGCCTTTCCCATAAACTTGTCAAGCCCAGGTCACATTCAATATTATGGGCAAGCCATTAGTGTATACTCTGTTTGGGCCTGCAGTCAGAATACATTTTGAACATTTTTTTTCTTTCTTGAACAGCAGAGTTTGCCTCTAAAGAACTTCAGAAGCTATTGTTCTTTATAGGCTGTAGAACTCAAACGGTGGCAGCTGCCCATGTGTGAATGTGAATTTGCGCATGTCTGCAGGCGTTTCCATAACTGTGCGTGTGTGTGTGTGAGTTTCTGCAGTCTGCTCTCCAGCTGTTTCCTGTTAGCTATCACACTGCTCTCAAGGTTGCTGAGCTGTGTATGTGTGTGTCTGTGTGTATGTGTGCTAAAAAGTCACAGCCGCTGAGTCATTTTTATCACACTTTAACAACGTGTCTCTCCCACGAAGAGGGGAGCTGGAAGCAGGGATCAAATAAGTAGAAAGGGGGGGAGCATTGAGAGGGTAACTATGGGGAAGTGTGTGTGTGTGTATGTGTGTGTGTGTGTGGTGTTTCTTAAAGAATCCATGTGTTCTTCAGAGCACAGCAAAGGTCCTCGTAAAAGAGTGACTAAGAACTGACACATGGATATGTGTGTGTTCTTGCCTCACCAAGTGCTAAGCGTGCGAGTCACTGTTTGACAGTAAGTGAAGTGACTCACAGATGAGTTGGTAGGATTGAAGCGGTGTATAACTTATTAGTCAGTCTAAACCTGGATGACTAATAAACTGAGCTATGTCTCTGTTTTTGTGTATGTATCGTTGACTTTTTTTGACTTCGCAAGAAAGAATTTGTCAAGCTATCCAATTTAGGGAGTGTTCTCGTAATTCGCACATGGGCTTGTGAGTGCTTGTTTTGTTTGCATTTCCTCGCGCCAAGAGGAAGTGACTTTCAACCCTCAGGGCCTTCGAGAGCTGGTGGTGTAATATGCTTTCTTTCACAGATGCACGCATGCAAAGTATGTAAGCTCGCATGGAATATACAGGAAGTACCGTTAGTCACAAAGGAACATAATGTCTAATGTGATGGTATGGATTGTAGGCTAGAGGGACTGAAAAGCATGGTGAAATTGATTTATTTGATATGAGTTCCATGGGTCACTGACCACAATATCCATTCCCTCTCTCCTCTTCACCCCTCTCCCCTTTCCTCCTCCGTGCTTCACCCCTCCCTCTACAGAGTGAGGAAAGCCCCAGTCCAAAGCGCCAGAGGCTGTCCAGTCAGTCTGTCTTGGAACAGCTAACCTCATCTGCACCCCCACCATCCACCCCTTCTCCTCCCATCCGCCCCTGGGAATCAGGACCCCAAAGTCGGAGACAGTCTCATCCTCACTCACATTACCACCAGGAGAGATGCCTCACTCCAGCCCGGCACAGACGCAGGTAAGGTGGCAGTTTCCAGATTTTTATTTATTTATTTTTTTTACACTTCCACTATTACAACTTACCTCAGGGTCTGTGATATAAAACTGTTATTTATCCCTTTTTTAGTCCACCAGCAAGACGTCAGCGTGGCCGTCTCTCCAGACCCTCTCGCCACCTGCCTCCTCATCACCACCCCCCCACCCAAGGCCCCATATCTCGTCTGTCACCATCCGAGCTCCAGGACGAAAACTACCACCACAACCCCCATCAATCCACTCCGCAGACATACCCAACACACACTCCCAGCGCCTACAGTCAGCCTCCTACGTCTGGGGGTGGAGGAGTAGGTTCAGAGGAACCTCGAGCTTTCCATCCCCCCAGCCTATCATCGCGACTACTGCACCCGGCCACTCACCACCATCACCATCATCAGCAACAGCATCATTCAACGCAACAGCAACAAGGAGCCATGGTAATGGATTTGCATGAACAGGTCAGTCTGCAAATATTTTATTTTCTGTGGAAAATGATAGAAAGCTGCGTGTGTGTGTGTGTGTGTGTGTGTGAGAGAGAGAGACGCTGTACTTCAACTTTGGTGTGATTTCTCATCAGCTGCAGCAGGGCACTGTACCTGTCTCCTACACGGTGACCCCAGTCCCTACTCACGGTCTCACAGCGCCTTTGTGTAGCAGTCAGCATCTTCCACCTACCTGCTCCTCACAACAACAGGTCCCTGCCTGCAGCGTGGTCTTCAGCACTGGACAACACTACCACCCGGTGAGAGGCATAAAACAGTGTAAAAGTTAGTAGGAGTGTGTGGGTTTCTTTGTTGATTTGAAAAATAAAACACTTTGTTCTGTGCAGTTTCTTTAAAAGAAAACTAAAGTGAGCAACAAAAGTGTGCCAAAACCTTTCCTGTTTGAGGAAACTAGTTAGTTTTCTCAGTTGTGGCTGCCACCTTGTGGTGAGACTACATATTACAGTGACCCCCATTTTATTTCTCTCTTCTCTTCCACTCTCTTCCAGATGATACAGGCATGTTCAGTGCAACATTTGCCGGTGCCCTATGCCTTTCCCTCACTGCTATCCAGTGATCCTCAGTTCCTGCTTCACCCTCCACCTCACATGTCTCACCACCCGCCCCACCTCGCCACACCCGGACAGTTCCTGCCTTTCCAGACACAACAGCCACGTTCGGTACGTGATCAGCTTTACTGGCAATGACCTATATCGCTGTGTGCAATACATGCAGTGACTTATATCCGGTTTTATAAAGACTTTAAACAGTGTCAGTGCTAGTCAAACACAGGTGTGTTATTTGCCCAAAGTTGCTGTTGCTGTTTGTTATACTAAAGGTAGAATACAAGAAATGTTGCTAAAACTAGACCAGTATATTTGTTTAATTTGTCCAAGTGTTTTATTTAGCTACAGATGAGAAGTTATAGAGTAAATTGGTGTTCTTTTCTCTTTCTTATTCCACATTACAAGACGTGTACATTTTTTTTTCTTCAAGTTACAAATATTAAGATTTTACATGTTACATGTCTTAATGTGTCTCTTTAAGAGTAGTTGAATTATTGGAGTTACAACTTTTAATATTAATTAAACTGTCAAGCCGTCAGTTATAAATTGTGTTATTAAAATATGCTGTTTTGTGATTTTGCTGAAATCTCCAAAGAAAAAAAAAATAGGACAGCAAACATGTCTAACCCGCCATAACGCCTGGCATGCTTTCGTCATTTAATCACAGCCCTTACAGAGGATTGAAAATGAGGTTGAGCTTCTGGGAGAGCAGCTTTCAGTGGGTGGAGGTTTCAGCTATGCCCACCATCACCATCACCACCATCACCACCAGCCGCCCTCTGCTCTGGCGCCTTCAACACCGCTCCAGTTCCTTTCACACCACGACCCCCTGTCACAGGAGCTTTTTACAGTGGTGAGTAGATTTGTCAAATCAGATGTTCATTTATGTTACAATGTAGGATTTTTGTAACATGAAATTTTTAACCATAGTGTAATACATTTTTTCCATCTCTTTTGCTGTGTCTTAGCCCTATCCTCACTTTATGCCTCGGCGATTCACAAGCCGGCGTTACCGTTCTCAACAGGCAGTACCACCGTCTCCCTACCACCCCAGCTTCCTGCCTTACTTCTTGTAAGTTCCTTCTTAAAAAAAATTCTGTTGGAACTACGTGGCTGAATTTGCAAGAGATTTGAGTGTACCTCAGGATGGTAATGAATGCAGTGTATTAAACTTCTTCATGCTCTTCATCCACCACAGGTCTGTGCTTCCTATGCCTCCAAATGTGGCCCCTGCTATCAGTCTAGAACTGGATGTGGATGATGGAGAGGTGGAGAACTACGAGGTAGAACAAACTGCTGTCGAGCTGTCACATTTTTCATTTTGTTTGAAAATACTGCATCGTAGAATCAAGCGACAGTTAATATGATGACTGTTTTTTTTTTTGTAAACATGTCCTTTATCTTCGAAATCTTCAGGCCCTGTTGAACCTCGCAGAGCGTCTGGGAGAGGCCAAGCCCAGAGGTCTAACTAAAGCAGATATAGAACAGCTTCCATCATACAGGTTCAACCCCAACAACCATCAATCTGAGCAAACACTGTGAGTACCTTTTTGCGTGGATTTTCTTTTGTTTTGTGAGCAGTTGCAGGTGTGTTAGCCCAAGACCATGTGTAAAAAACGCTCCTAACATTTGTCTTTCAGGTGTGTGGTGTGCATGTGTGACTTCGAGTCACGCCAGCTTCTGAGAGTATTACCCTGTAATCATGAGTTCCACACCAAGTGTGTAGACAAGTGGCTTAAGGTGAGTGATGACATTCTTTTATTAGGATAACGGTAATAAATTCCACTGAGGTTGTGAAGCTCAGGCAGAGCAGTCATGGCACAGCAAATAACTGACAACTGAACTTCCAAACAGATATTGCCTCACTCGTGTTTATATCTAGCAGCCTGCATTCTCCTGACTTGTAAATCACTTCAGTAAACAGAAAATTCACACACTTTATTTGCTGTGCTGTTTGTATTTGGTACATTAATAATTTAGGTTCTTTATTTAATTTTTTCCCAGGCTAACAGGACCTGTCCTATCTGTCGAGCCGATGCCTCTGAGGTACAACGGGACTCTGAGTGACCTCCTATAAATATCCACAATCCCTGACTCCCTGTCGGATGCCCCAACCAATCAGTGAACTTCCTTACCCCTTTACCACAAGCCTTTGCTTACACATAACTGGGACCAGTGCTCATTAATCCTTCACTCTATCCCACCAGACACTGAATGGTAATTCTCACCTGGGATCAGCATTTATAGAAGTGTGGAGACTTTTTGCTGACTCGTGCTTACTTCATCACTGGACTTCATAGGCCTTCCGTTTTTGGACTATTAGACCCTGCTACCCTGCCTTCTTCTGATGGTTAACGCTCACTATAAATGGCCTTTAAAAACACACCCACGACACAGTGTCATGTGCAGGTGGACATATATGTATGTATTTTTTTAAAAAAAATGGCATTATGAACCCTTCTGAATTGTGAACTGTTAAGTTCTGGTAGTGGAGAGAAGAACAGGCTTATTTGAAAACCACCTGTATAGTTGTACTAACAAACACTGAGGGGGGAAATTGGCAGTCCAAAGATTATATTTTCGTTATTGTTCTTCTGGTTATAATTAAGCAGTCCCATTTTTGGTGTGCAGAGACTGACCTTTTTAACTAGACTCATTATAATTGTGCAGCAGAATGAGCCAGTTTAATTTCTCTGTGTGTATTCTTGCATTCCTTGGTTTCTGAGCAGTCTGTATAGGGTGAAACAAAGATACTGTACACTGTGTGACAAAGAGTGAGCTACTTTGGAACAGTGAAAAAATACACTTTATTTTCTCTATCCGAGTGTCTGTGCGCGAGTGTTTTTTCAGCAGTGTGAGCCTTTTCACTTGTGGAGATGTGAGTTTTACACCTCCTGTAGAATTTATGCAGCCTATGTGGTACAGTGCATTTACTTCCAAAATTGTTTCCACTCTACTTCAGATTGATTTAGACCCAGTGAAGGTCAAGGGTAACTTCAGATCTTCACAACCAAGGTTCTTGGGAAGCTGACTTTCTTTTTTAAACCACACATTAGACCTTTGAATCTACATCTGTTCCTTCTTCTCTAAAACAAGTATAGGTTTAGTTTTTTCCCCTTAAAAAACAGAAAATATATTTATCAACATCTCAACATGCTCAGTAAGCTCCTCCTCCAAGACATATTTGATAAATATGGTTGAATTAATTAAAACTCAACAATTTCATCAATCCTCAGTATATTATAATTTTAATGGGAATATGGTATTTAAAATGTGACTGTCTGTTTTTGGTACCTTTCTATACTTTTGGCAGGTAGCGATTCCAGTGTTTTCCCATCACTCACGGGGAAGAAGTTTAAAGAGTCTTATAAGGTCACCGTTAAATCTACTTTGGTTCACTGGTGGATTTTTCACTTCAGCACTTTAATATGTAGATTTATGACCTATACACACTCTTTTCTAAGAAAAAGAAGCATTAATGCATAAAAAAATACAGATGTTCTTCAAACATCATTTTCCAGTATTTACTACACCCTCAATATATCAGTTCTTTCAAATTCCCACAGTTCATTTCCAAAGGTGTTTATTCTCGGTATCTTAATAATGATCATCAGTCATGATATAACTAATAAACCTCAAGCACAAATCAGGCTTTCAAATGTAAATCCCGAATGGTCAATATTTTTAAGATGACAAGCTAACATGGGCCATAAAAAGTAAAGAGGAAGTTCAGTGCGGCACCTGCAGTGTCTTCCATCTGACATGCCTTTTTAACCAATCTGATTTTCTCCTGGTAGAACTCGTATTTCTTCACTGTTGCCACATCAGATGGAAACATTAATTCAAAGTGGATTTCTGCTTTCCAGAATCTGGAAAGAACATTGGTTTATCCAAAACACTTCTTTAGTGTTATCAGACGTTTTTAAAAAGACAACAACTCTTATTTAAACAATGGGAATCAATGTTTTTCTTCTTCATTTCTGTACGCATCCCTTTTGTGTCTTAGAATCGTTTTTTGTTGGACAGTTTTTCGTTGCTTGATACACTAGCAATTACCTCAGTCCCACTATTTATGTCTTTTCAGAAAATGGCACAACCAGTATGCTTAGTGTGCATCTGTTCATTTTCCATGCAATTTGTTGGGTTGTTTGATATATATTCCTTTAAACTCTATGAAACTTTCATTAAAGTGGTGTCATAGTAGTTTCATTATGTATTATATCTGTAACCAAAATCGTTTGAAGGTCTGTTGATGATGATAATGAAATTTTTAACAAACATTTGTACATTTTGTATGAGAGTTGTTACTAGTAATACTTTATTAAGTAGTGCAATGATTTTTTTTTAATCCCTTACCCTGTCTTTTGGATTTCAAAAGCTGGTTCAATAATAAATGTATAACATGCTCTTCTAAAACACTGTGGTATCATTACTCTTTCCTCAGCATTTTGTTTCCTTCATCCTGTAAATTATCATCTCCAATGAACTGTCCACATAAGTGAAGTGCTTTTTACAACAATCCTCTTGGTGGCAGTGCAGTTCTGCAATCCAGGTAATCCTCCTGCCTGAGCCACGTGACTTCTCACATTTACCATAGACAGTGCTTTCTTGGCCTTGGAAATGTTAATTTCTTTTTTTTCAGGGGGTTAATTTAAACCTTTGCTTGGGCAAGGATCTGGTCCTAGGGTCCTGGGATTAACAACAAACATTTCTTTTCTTTTTCTACGGTTTTTAAAATTGTATTTCTTTGCTTTTATAAGAGTCTCCCTAGCAGTAGTGGTTTTTGATACGGGCGACACGGGCGGTTGCCCGGGGCGGCATCGTGGTGGGGGGCGGCATCACGGGCATCGGCAAAAAAAAATAAAAAATTGCTCGTACTCATGCTGCCCCGACATCAGCCAGTGCATATTGGGAATGGCATAGGCACCGATCGGTTTTCTATCGCCCATTTCCTGGGAGTAAGGGCACCGTCCGTTTGCGAGGTGCGCCTGCTGCTTTCGGCACAGGGAGGAGAGGGCGGGGCTGCGGGGGATTCTGTGGCTGGCTGGAGCAGCATCTAATAACCAACTCGCAAAATAATTTTTTTTTCGAAATTCTATATGCGAAAAGTGAGCGCGAGAGCCCTCGGTGCACCTGCTCGCTGCTGAAGTCAAAGTAAACTTTATTGTCATCTCCGCTACATACAGTCCAGTATATAGAGAGACGACGAGGCTCCAGTTACAGCAGTGCAAGTAACCAAACAATAAATATAAGAAGAGTAAGAAAATAAATATACACTTTAGGACTCGGGGTAAAGGGATCAATAACAATTTAAAATTTATATTTTGATGATTTAATGTCTCACAGACAACCCGTGGAAAGGGGTTCTTAATGTTGTAAATCCAAGCCCATTATGTATTCACGATTTGAATCATGGGTTGTGTGAAATCCCAGAAATACACCTAAGACAAAGTGAATCTGTGAACTAAGGTGTAGGTCTATTAGGTTATGTTGTGGTGATCCTCGAGTTGGG